GGTTTGTTGAAGAACCTCGACAGGATGGATTGGTCGATACGTGTTAACATGTTGACATTTGGATATCTGCATCCGGAAATGGATGGATTTCCAGAGCGGGGGGGGGAGGGGGGGGGAGAAAATGCGAGCACTACGTTGGAAGAGTTTCGAAGCACAAATCATGATGAGGTTGCAAAGAGGAAGGTGTGACATTTACTTTTGTTGGAGCTGCAGCTCTTGTTTCGGTATTTTCCATTTCACCTTTTGTGTTTCCAAGTGGGCGGTGAAATCCTATCTGGAATCTGGCTTCTGTCTCTGTGCCTTCCACAGAACTCCTTTTCCTCATCACCTTGTTTGTTGTTGCCACTGGTTATCTTTCAACCCCCCCCCCCCCCTCATGCCAGTGCTGGTGTATCAGCAGCAGTGAGCCCTGCTCGGTGGGAGATGAAGAGATGGAACCACAGAAATGCCCTTAATAAAAAAAAAAGAGTCACCTCTTCGTTGCTGCCGTCGTCGTGTGTGATCTAATCTCTGAAAGCAGAGACGAGGCGAAACTTCCTCTCCCCAAGAGGAACCGCTGCAACACCTCCGGCCCCCTGCTAACCAAACAGAACCCTGGAAAGGAGAACATGTGATACTGGCCCGAGGCCCGGAGGCCGTCCCGTCTGACCCGGTGCAGTGCTGGTGTGCTCGTCTTCGTGCCTGCAGAAAAACCATTCAAACAGGAACCCGGTCATGTCTTCTCCCTTGTCTCAGTCATTTCAACTCATGCAATTAAAGTGGGACTTTTTCAGTTTCTGCATCGATAAAAATTGTAAAAATTATGAACTGTGTTCAGAATTTTTTTTAATGAAGATTAAAAAAACAACAACTATATTTTATTACAGAAAAACACAAGGCAGAGAATTAAACTATGAAACACTAAAGAAAATAGAGCGTAAAGTTAATATACTTGCCTGAAAGGACGGAATTAAAACACATCCACACAATCTTACAATCTTTTGTAAAATGCACAGGGCGCCAGAGCATTTTGAGCCAAAGCAAAGTAATTTGTTTAATACTGAAGCCACAGTAAAGGCTACAATGTTCCATTACAGGTCATTTAGCTGACGCTTTTATCCAAAGCGACTTACGATAAGTGCATTTCAAACGTAAGGATACGAACTCGGAAGAACAAGAAACAAAGTGAAATTTCATCAAATAGGCTGATTTACAACTTGCTGTAGATAAGAACCATTATAAGTACAATTTAAGTGCTACAGTTTGTTTAGTGGAGGTGGAGTGTGAAGAGGTGAGTCTTTAGTCTGAAGATGTGAAGGTTCTCTGCGGTCCTGATGTCTTCAGAGACCTCCTTCCACCATTTGTTGTTCCAGAAACCTTCTAGTCCTCCGACCATTTCATACTTTTCCCCTCATTTTACACGACGACAGAGATAATATTAAAAAGTCAAATGAACGTTGGATATTTGAGTCAGAATAGCTTTTGATTTTATTCGTAGATTAATGATACTAGAGAGACATAAGCAGGCGTCTTTAATCTCTCTTATGTCTTTTTTCTAATGATGATCCAGCTGCTTCTTCTTCACCTGTTTCTGCGCGTTGCTACACGTCGTGCTACCGGTTGAACGTTTTGTGGGATGGATTTTTATTGCCCTCTTTAAACTGTCTTTCGCGTTCTGCATCAGTAAATCGGCACAGCCTGAGTCAACATGGACTGTTTTCTTTACTGTGAATGTGATCATTTATAATCTTATAAATACACTGCAAAGTGGCTTGTAAGAAGATTCTCTGGGGAGATATGGAGGTGACATATCGTCTCATCTTCCCCCTGAACGGTGGCCAGATGAACCGTAGCGATTAGCTGCGCAGGAACACATACTTCATCGTGTTTTGGATTGGCACCTTGCCAGATCACCCAACGCTGTTTGAAGCAGAGGTGGAATAAGGTTATTAAGAGCGGCGATCACGCTCATTGCTGAGAGCCAGTTGTGTGTCCGTGCAGGGGTCTCACTGAAAACAATGAAGGGGCTGCGTGTTTGTGCCTTGATGAGTAAATTACCTTTCACCAGACAGACACCTTATTACAGGGATTGGTTTTTTTTGTCTGGTTCCAGTTGTGAAGACGCTTTTTGGGGTGTCTTCACAACTGGAACCTCTGATATTGCACACACCTTCCTGGCACACGTTTAGATCAATACTGCAACTGCACACATTCACACTCACACTCTTTTATGTTACATATTTTGTGACGGTTCGGCTCGTTGACTGCATGAGCACGCATTCTCCAAACACCTGTCATCGCCTGTTTTATTCTGCCGTTGACGTGCAGCTCGTGCTGAGTCGTTACTTTGAACTGGAAAACTCGCGTGTGCATCTCCATCTCCATCTGACCTCGTAAGGCGACGGGGTGTCAGGACGCGTGGCGCTGACCTTTGCCCCGCCTGTTGCAGTTGCTCTTAATTTGAGACTATTCTGAATGCACGGATGTTGTGGTCTGTAAAAGCTGCAGCTGAGACGTGTTCTCAGTGTTGTTTGTGGGGACTTGGAGGTGCAGAGACGAGTCCGGGCTCTCGCTCCCTGTGTCCGGATTAAATATCTGCGCATCTCAACCGATGTGACAAAAGCAAAAACCCCGTGATGTTCACTTAAAACAACATCTTGAAATGGATTTTCACATACCTTCCTTTTATTCAGCGGAGGCCCCTGAATTAGTTACAAGTTGTTTTTAGCAGCACTTTGCAGCTGATGAATAATGGACGCACATGCCTGCTGAGCCCAATGAGGTGAAAAGTTAAAGCTCCCCCGATTAAAAGAATAAAGAAGTGGCCGCTAACGGCTCTTCGTAGGCACTTGCTGGTTCATGCATGTACCAACTCACACAGACACACACGACGTGAGAATGTACTGTGTGTGTGTGTGTGTGTGATGCTTGTGGCATCTGGCTTGAATGCAAAGCTTCTATGGCTCATTCCTGCGTGAACATTATCTACCTGCAGATAAATCATGACATCGTACGTAACCTTGGAGAACGAGCAGCGCCTGTCAATCCTCATCATGCGGTATGATGAACGCACCCTGTTGTACCTGTTTGTCAATGTCATGCTTCTAAATGGGGGGGAAACAAAAAGGTTCATGCCCAGGGGAGGAAAAGGGAACACAATGCGAAAGGACCTTTTAACTTCTATTATCTTTCTTGGCGGTTTGTAAAAATAGTCTATAGTACATTAAGGCTCACGGCGCACCGTGCGCATCCACCAGCCCCTCCACCGGGTTCCCAACCTGCTCCCGTGGCGACGGAGCCGCCCTGAGCCCGAGCGGACGCCCGCTTGCACTCAAAAGGCTTCCACCTGCACTGATACAGAGCCCCAGCTTGAAATAACAGCTGTCACATGCCGGCTGCCTTGCTTCAACAGTCCCCCCCCCCCTCGTAGCGTCCCTGCACGCAGAGACTGGAGGGACAGATCGCAGGTTGTGCACGCGACGGGTGTGTGTGTGTGTGTGTGTCTCCACAAATATGCACAGCAGGAGTTTTCATAAGAAACGGTGTTAATGTGCCAGAAAACCAATCAAGGAATGGAAGAGTGCACCCGGCATCTGCGGCGTCACAAACTATTCGGGGGTGACGAAGGTTATCTGGGCGTTATTGGAAGGTTTAAAATAGAAGACAGATGCGGTTGGGCGTGCGTTGGTTCTACGATGGGTCCTTGCCAAAAACGTAACAGGGAATTTGGCTCGAGGCGCCATGATGAAAGATGTTAAGGGACACCTGCCAGCTGATCAATCATCAGCATTCATTCAGGGGGCAGAATAAAACGGAATTACAGTTCAAACTGGGGTGTTGTGCATGCCAGAGAGCAGGTGTCCCGGCGTGAAACAACAAGCACCTGCATAGACCGCGGCCTTCGAAAACACACAGATCAGGCATCTTTAGAAACGTACTGTTGCATGATCATGTGTGATCTATGCACTTAATAATTGCACCTAGTAACATTTATGCAGGTCCTCGTGTCGCACCCAGAGCCTCCTGCTTTCTTCAACACGCACACGTCAAACTACGTTGAACTATGTTGGCTAAATTAAATGTACACCGAAATTTAAAAGTACATTTCACTCACATAATGTTTGCACTGGGTGCTGCAATTTCTGATTTGTGTGAGGAAAGAATTTAACTGATGCCTCTCTATGACCTGCTGAGAAAATACTACGTTTATATAATTATTCCCAATGCTTCGGGTGCCGCAGCAACGGATCGGATTAGATCTTCTTCATCAGACGGCCCAGATTCACCCTCAGCCCCGGGAGCAGACCTCCACCTGGCCGCTCCACAGGTCCCCACGCCGAGCCGCCGAAGGCCCTGGGCCGCCATCCCGGAGGGGAGGGAGGGGAGGGAGAAGCAGGACTGCCGCAGTAGAATGAGAGGTTTGGATGAAAGGACTGCTGAGAAAGAGGACCAGTTGTTGTTAACAGGAAATGCCCAATTCAACACAAAATGAAAGCTCTTATCGTACCTTTAATTCAACAAGTTTATTGCTCAACTCGCATTCCTGTCAGTGTCATATTTATTATAGTGAACATTGAAATGCACTGAGTATTAAACTCACTTTGCACTGGCGTTACACATTAAGATTGTAGTAGTTTGAAAAGTCCCAATTTGTCTCCAAGAAGAGCAAATAGCAGCTTATAGCATATATAACGCAACTACAATGGACTCCAGCTTTACGCCCTCCATTATACACAGGTAACAATAGGCATATACTTTCCCTTCCGCTCCGCCAAGTGAGGAATATTAGTACTTAAAGGTTTTATTTCTATTTGTATTATTTAGTTTGTTTTGATAAAGTTGTCTTTCTACACAACATCCGCGCGGCCTCCTCCGTTTTCTCCACCCCGACATTAAAAACGCAGCAGCACAAACACGTGATCACCGGCACGCGCACAAACACACGCGCAAGCCCGCGCGCGCGCGCGCAGCGGGCCACCCCGCCCCGGTCCCGCCCCGCCCCGCCCCGCCCCGCGGGCCCGACCCCACGGAGAACGCACACAGCCAGACCGGATCATGTGACGGCAATAGTTTCTAAACGACAAAACCCCGGAGAGAGACACACACACGCACGCACGCACTCAGCGGGGGAGCGAGTTTCGTAACTTGGGGAAGTTTGGTGGAGCAATCGGCCGAGCGCACCGCTCCGTTTGCGCCTCTTTTTCCTCGGATGCGAGTGACGCCGCGGAGCGCCGATCGTCGCCTGCGAGCCGCTTCTAAGCGCGTCTGTCCCGCGGACCCGCAGCGGAACCGTCCCCGTCTCCTGGACGCAGACTCTCCGTCCACACAGCAGTAAGTGTGACCCCCCCCCCCCGTCTGACGCCGCGCTGCGCGCTGTTTTACGCGCGTTAGTGCGTAAAGGAGAGGACGCGGGTGGTTGATCAGCCTCATCGTGGTGCAAAGTTCTTTCTATCGATGTTTGGTCGTGTGTGTCGGATCGATGTGTTTCATCGGGGAGCTTTATTTCGTTTGGTGGATAAATGATGTTCCGGTGGTCTGTAGGGACACGCTGCTATTTATAGCCCGCAGAGCCGTTTATAGAACACCGCGAGGTTTAATTAAATAGTCAAACACAAGCTCGTGAGGGAAACGGAGCCGCTTGCTGTCGAGTCATCAGTCAGATCAGCACATCTGCTTTTGTTGGTTTATGCGATTTACTGTTTTCATTTTAGAAATGACATTTAAATATTGACGATCACCCCAAAATCCGCGAGTCCGAGGTGATAACGTGCACGCGGCTGCATGTGTGTCCTAAATGTATTTAAAATATTACAACAACAACAACAACAACACCGAGGACAAGTTGGGATCATTTGCCATTTTTCTCTTGACAACACATCTGAAGCGCTCTGCGTCTCAGCTGGAGGTGCGTGTGTGTGTGTGTGTGTGTGTGTGTGTGACAGATGGTCGTCAATGTCACACACACACACACATACGGTGTGGTGACAGGTGTGTGTGTTCAAACAGTCCACCTGAGTTTCTTTGTCATACCTCTGGTTTCTCACACACATCTGTGTGTGTGTGTGTGTGTGTGTGTGTGTGTGTGTGTGTGTGTGTGTGTCTCTCCCTGCTTCCTGTGCTTTGTTCAAGGCTGAGGCTTGCGTCACACATTCCACTTGGCATATGAAGCCCTTATCCTGTTTAGAGCCGGAGTAAGAGGGAAAGAGGAGAAAGAAGGGAGGAGAGAGGGATGTGGATGTGGGGGGTGGAATGAGGGCGACCCCTCTCTCTCCCCCTCTCTCCCCCTCCCCCCCCCTCTCTCTCTCTGCCTCTTTTGTCTTACTTAAAACTCGTCCACCTCTCTAGAAAAGTTTGAGAAAAGAGGATGACCTCGTTCTTTATTCATTTGTTAGATATTTGTTTTATTTGAGAATCCCCCCCCCCCCCCCCCTCCCCCCTCCCCTCCCATGAATCAACCCGCTGATGTTTTCTGGGGGAAAAAAATGGGGACACACACACACACACTGCTCAAAGGGCATGTTCCCGGGAACATTAAGGGTAAAAATTAAACCCCTGCATGGCGGGGAGCCGGGGGTTTTTCAGTTGGAAGTGAGGACAAGTGTGTGTGGCTGTGTGTTTGTTTGTGTGTTTTTGTTTGAAAGCTAAAGGGGCCCCCCCCCCCAAGGCCCCCAAGTTTGAGGTTCATTGAAGTTTTGTCATATTTTGGTCAAACCCCACTTAGTTTTCTTCCCCGTTCTTTCCACTTCCACTCTGACATAGTTTGGTCGGAGCGGCTGTTTTCTTTGCCCCCCCCCCCACACACACACACGCACACACACACGTCTCTCCTCATTATTCGGGTAGGGAGATGCAATGTGAGTGTGTCAGGACAGGAAACCGCAGGCCCCCTGCAGCAGCCCCCCCCCCCCCCTATTTGGCTTCACTCTGCGACCCATCACCCAGTGTGGAAATAATAACAGTCAGACTAAACTCGGAGGGCTTCCGCTTCTCCCTCTCTCACTCGCTGGCTTTCTCCCCCTCTCCCCCCCCCACCTCCTCCCCCGGCCCCCATCCGCTGTCTGGAAAGCCTCAAAAATGTTGCTCTCCTTGATAAGTACGGCTCGAGGTGCTCACACAGGCACTCAGTATTTGAGCCTTGTGTGTCTTTTGTTGTCTGTTGTTGTCTTTCGCGTGATGGTGGACCCTCACCCCCCCCCCCCCCCCCCCCCCTGTTGACGGCCACCTCTGGCTTCCCTCGAGCTCTGCAGGCCTGAAGCCCTGCAATCTGCTGAAGAGGAGGAGCAGGAGAGAGACGCGTGTGTGCGTGTGCGTGTGCGTGTGCGTGTGTGTGTGTGCGTGTGCGTGTGTGTGCGTGTGTGTGCTTGGAAGGGGGGGGTGGGGGCTAAAGGATGAGGTGGGTCGGTGGCTCAGATGAGCGAATATGAAGCCAGAATGGGAAGTGGGGGCTTCAGCGGGGGGGCCCCAGCGGCCCTTTTTAGATTGAGGGGAGTGAGAGCATGGGAGGCGTTATCAGGGGAGTAGGAAGTGAGGTAAGAGGTTGAAACTAGGGAGCAGGGAGGGACAGTGAGGGGGGGGGGGGAGTAAAGATGATCTCATCGCCTTGACGACTCACGCGGCCCGATTGAGACGCTGGGTTTGAAGAACAACGTTTGCCGAAGTTTCACGCGAGCGGCGATTTGGGATGAAAGTGGCAGTTGTAGTGTAACCAACGTGAGGTGAGACTGAAGGGGCAGAGAAAGTGTGTGTGTGTGTGTGTGTGTGTGTGCGTGTGTGTGTGTGTGTGTGTGTGTTCTTGGACAACGCCGTTGTCTGGAGGTTTCTGCTCTCTGGTGATCTCATCATCCTCCAGCCTGTTGCCATTAAACGGAGTTTGTGTGTCCGTGTCTGCTCGAGTGTGTGTGTGTGTGTGTGTGTGTGTGCGCGCGTGTGCAATAATTTAGTCCTTTAGTGATTTAGTGTGTATTTTCTGTCGAGCTTGCAGAAACTCTGTGCGGCTGCCGCAAGTGTGTTATGAGTGTGCGTGTGTGTGTGTGTGTGTGTGTGTGTGCGGTTGAGTCGGCAGCCAAGGACTTCGAGCCACAATATTTTCCGCCCTCAGTCGTGTTGTTTTACATCATTCACAAAGCGTGAGAGGAGAGAAAGCAGCGTGTTCGGACAGACAACAGCAGTGAAGAAGAAGAGGCGTGCGGGAAGATCTGGGTGGGGGGCGACCTGCGGGTGGAGAAGGAGAGCGGGGTCAGGGAAGTGTTTGCTGAGTGGGGGGTGGAGGGGAGGGGGGGGGGGTACACAGTAGCTCCACTGACCTGAGAAGGACAATATTTGCAGACCGCACTTGACGTGTACAAACACACACACACACCCATTGGTAGGGAGAGAAAATAGTTCCCAACAACTGCAGCTGGAGCTGCTTATTTACAGATAAGCAGCGCGCGCCGGTTCCTTCCCGTCACGGTGGCTGCGACTCCGTCAGAAGGGAGCTGGAGGCTCTCTGGCCGTCCGCTTTCCATCTGCCCGAAAGACATCGTTGTCCTTCCCGCGCGTCCCCATCGACCCGTTACACGGATCAGTGTGACGACTGCCCATCGCCTCCATCAGCGGTCACTTGGTCTGTGGGATGACAAAACTGGGGAGCAGGGAGAGGGTCTGAGGTCCTGAGGTCCTGAGGATCTGAGGTCCTCAGGTCCTCAGGTCCTCAGGTCCTCAGGTCCTGAGGATCTGAGGTCCTGAGGATCTGAGGTGCTGAGGTCCTGAGGATCTGAGGTCTTGAGGATCTGAGGTCCTGAGGGTCTGAGGATCTGAGGTCCTGAGGGTCTGAGGATCTGAGGTCCTGAGGTCCTGAGGGTCTGAGGTCCTGAGGTCTTCTTCCGTGCAGCGTGTCATTGGAGTTACGGCCCCCTTCAGGGAAAGGGGGCGGCTCATAAAAAAGACTTGCTTTAAGTCAGGGCTACTTTTTGATTGACGGGTCGCTAGCCTACCGGAGACGTGCGTCTCCACCAAAGTGTCCCTCCTCCAGAGTCACTGCCTATTTTGTTTTTTTTTTAACCGCCGCCAACTTGGATTTGCGTTGCGTAGTCACACTATCGTAGTTGGGGCTTTAAAACAGTCCCATAAAACAACAAATGACATCATATAGTTTCTGCTTTTTGCCCTGTGCCTCATTTACCCTCTGCTGCCCCGCTCGTTATCACTTTATATTCTTTGACTTACAGATATTATATTTGATCATCTGATAAAAATGGTGCTTTCCGTCGCTGACGTGTGCCTTTTAGTGCATCGCTATTAGGACCAATCACGGGACAGACACGGCCAGGGGACAGACACGGCCAGGGGGACAGACACGGCCAGGGGACAGACACGGCCAGGGGGACAGACACGGCCAGGGGACAGACACGGCCAGGGGGACAGACACGGCCAGGGGACTTCCACGCAGGGCCCGTTGAATGAACTGCGTCCGTAGGAACAATGCCTTTTTACGCTGAGCCTCATACCTGTGTGTGTGTGTGTGTGTGTGTGTGTGTGTGTGTGTGTGATCCACAAGCACAATGGAGCCTTTGCTTGACCTGCCGTTGAACTACAACACAATACAAAACCCAGATTAGAATACACGCCCACTAACACACGTAGACACACACACGTACACACACACGTACACACACACACACACACGCACACACACACGCACACACACACACACACACGGGCCCCACCTGACTGTCTTTGTTTCTTTGGTGCCAGGCGGGAGGGTGAGGCGGCAGTTGTCATGTTCACACCCTTCCTGATCCAGCGAGAGAGCATCCTGCTCTCCTATTGGTCTGCTACCGTGTGTGTGTGTGTGTGCGTGTGTTTGTGTGTGTGTATGTGCAGAGGTGTGATGGCCGGTGTTCTTTCCCATTTGTTAATAATTAAAGGCTAACTTGTCTCCAGACTGTGGACTTTAATCCGGACACACACACACACACACACACACACACACACGCACACATAAACACAGTCATCCAGCTGCACCGGCCATTCCAAGCCACAGTAACTGAAACCTCTGAAACCTCACGTGCTTTTGATCCAAACATGCGACGGACCTCATCGGGTGGTGTGCGTGTGCGTGTGCGTGTGCGTGTGTCTTTGACGAGGCCTTTCGGCCTGTTGCAAAGTTGTCTGTCCGGTCAGGTGAACAAGTGAGCAGGAGGAGCTTCAGCTTTAGGTTCCTAAAAGCAGAGAGGAGAAGACGCGTAAAGGGTCGGACAGATCGAGGTGTTTGTCTGAAGTGATTTACTACCTGGGTCTATGACACACATGCTCTCTAAACGTGTCACACGTCAACATGGCCACGATTCACAGAACAAGTGCAGAGGCTGGAGAAATTGAGTGTGTGATTTATAAATGAATCACAGCTTATGAAGCACAGACATGTTTGCTCTCTATGATGTGGAGACATTGAAAGCCCACTGACCTTATTTATTCTTTTATCTCTCTCCCAGTTTGGGAACCACCACACTATCAGTCATATTCTGCGAAACAAATATTTTTTTCTACTTTAAAGAAGAATATAATAATAATAACAATAAAATTATGTATGTATATTGATGTGATGGCAAAGAGACTGCATGTATACTTTTACTTTGTGTTTTTTATCACACTTACTGAATACATTTTTAAATTTACATTTAAAAAATTAAAGGATGAGATTACTGACCACAGCTGGTGATTACTGGTTTTCTATGTTAGAAATGTGTGTGTTCATTTTGTTACGTGTGTTCTAAGCGCGTGCGCTGACCGCTGCATGTCTGCGTTTTATTTTGTAGGAGCCTGTTCTGCGCAGCCATGCTGATGTATGACTTCCCTCTGAAGACGGACATGGAGACGGTAAGGCCTGTGCGCGCGTGTGTGCATGCTCTCACCATGCCCGGGCATGTTTAATGCCATGCAGTAACTGACACACACACACACACACACACACACACACACACACACACACACACACACACACACACACACACTCAGGCTACGTGTCTAGACCGACTGGTTCCCACATTCCAGCTCTTCCTGGACAAACATGTTGCTGTACACTGGATATTTGCATACAATGATAACAAAGACTGCCGGCTAATGGACACACACACACACACACACACACTGCACTCTGAGACATAACAGTTATCTCGCCACCGAGCGGCGTTGGGACTTTCTGGCTGGCTGCAGTTGTTTGTGCAGCAGAAAGTTGTTTTCCACGTTGTTCAGCGCAGGAAGGAAATTTCAAATAGCTCTTTTGTCCCCCGCTGCCACTTCCTTCATCTGCGTTCTCCCTCCTTCCTCCTCCCACAGTCGTTCTACTCGCCGTTGGTGAAAACCACGGAGCCGTACCGGAGTGATCTTTCTCCCACCCGGCCCACATCTACCACGCGGCGCACATGCCCGCCTTCGCCCAGCACCACGCGCCCAGCCACCTGCCGCACGCGCAGCTGGAGCCCGTGGACCTGTCGGTCAGCAAGCGCTCCTCCGCCACCTCCTCCCCCGCCCTGCTCCTCCTCCTCCTCCTCCTCCTCCGCCTCCTCCTCCCCGGCCTCCTCGCGGAGCTCCCCGCCCTCCCCCTACAGCCGCCCCTCCCCCCGCTGCGCCACGCCGCACGCCCGGCTGCGCTCCCCGCCGGCCGCGTCCTCGCTGCCCTACTCCGCCATGGTGACCCGGCTGATCGGCCCGGGGTCCGGAGTCCTCCAGGAGTCGGGGGTCATGATGTCCCCCGTCATGTTGCCCCTGTCCGTCCTCTACCCGCCGCCACTGCACCTGCACCAGTCGATAATGGTGAGCTCGCCCGTCAGCGGCGACGACGACCATCATCATCGGAGCAGAGAGCACAAGACAGGTGAGGCCTCAATTATTGTTTAATGTCTACAGGTCTTCATTTTTTTGCCCTTTATTGTACTTAATTATTCATATATTGCAATAAAATGATCATTTCTGACATTAATTATCACGGCGTATGTGTTGCTTAAGTCTGTGAACCGGCCATTCAGGAAGACCTTTTTTTTAAAAATAAAAGGCCATAATTACACATTGCATTACACACACATCAGTGTGTGAGAGCTGGCAGCTTTCGTGAGAAAGAAAAAAAACTCCTTAATTGAACGTTTTTTTTTTCTTTGTGAAAATGCAGAAGTGCTTTTCACAATATCAGTTGAGTCTAGTTTAGAACCACATTCTGTGGTCAGACGCCGGTCACTGCGATTCACAGAGGTCACTATACCTAACTTCTGTATTTCTTAACCGTGGTTCACAAGGGGGGGGGGGGGGGTAGTTGGGTAATTTTACTCTGTAGAGGCTTAGAAGATTTCTTAAAGACAAATAACAGATGATAGAAACCAAAAGAAGAAAAATCCTGACCGACAAATTCGTATTCTCCCACAGGTCACTGCGGCGACCTGCACGAGCCAATCAAAACGGAGCCCCGCTCTGAGCTCGCGCACGACCTCAACGGCGGCCACGAGACGAAGTCGTCCGTCATCAGGATACCACACGAGCACGGGTGAGACATGTCGAAAGCGACGCCGCGCGTTTTCACACGTCTGTCTGCTGCGGCGCTTCCCCTCCGCCTCGCGAACGTGACTCAATCCAGTAACCGTAAAGTAAGAATACCACCAAGCGTTCGCTGACATGATACTTTTGAGCACAGTTTTTAGGGATTTTTTCTCGAATGGCGTTTTTCGATTTGTGATGGGTTATTTCTCGAGTGCACAAACGGTACCAACGAACTCCCCCCGACTTATTCTCACGACGCGTCGGGATTCCTTTCTCACCGGCCTCCTGTCAACTTCCTGCTGTCCTCTCTATCCATTTAAATGGCCTGGTTTCCTCTCCTCGCTTCCTCTGTGGGAATGCGGGCGAGCGGAGGTCGACTTGGGAGAAAACAAAAGGGGACGGCGACGCGGCACGTGGACGCGCCCCCCCCCCTCATCTCTCCGGTCAGCCACCTGTGATGTAACCTCCACCTCTCCTGTCTCACTCTGCACTTCCTGTATTGAGTTCTTTAAAGGCACTCATTGTACTGCATCTGCCGCTCCTTCCTCCTCCTCCTCCACCTCCTCCTCCCGTCGTCATCTCTTTTGGGTTTCCATTTGTTCTCCTTCAGCAGAATAACTGCTTTTTCTCCCTCTAAGGAATAATTGCATGTGGGTTGTGCATGTCATGGTGAGGGAACGCCGCTGTAGTCATCAGGGCGGTAACCATCACACCGTGAGCGGGAAATAATAATTGGTCCCTCGGGGGGAGAAAACGAGGGGCGTGTCCACGTCTGTCATCGCCGCTCCTCTCAAAAGACAATGTTAATATTCCACCGGAAATGTTGACAACGTTGTCCAACGGCCTGTGTGTGTGTGTGTGTGTGTGTGTGTGTGTGTGTGTGTGTGTGTGTGTGTGTCCAGGGGGATTTTCTGCACATTCCTTTCACACTGAACTAATCTGTGAGGGATTCATATCTCAACACTTGACACCTGCTCCTCGCCCCCACACACACACACACACACACACACACACACACACACACACACACACACACACACACACACAGTTTAATTATACCAGACAGAAAAGTCTTTGTTTTTTTCCCTCGTAAAACACCAGAGGACCTCCATTCATATCTGCTGTGCTCATTTGTAGTTCCACAGAAGAGCTTTTCTCTCACACAGCGGGAGTGTTGATGAAACCTCATCTCCTCGAGTCTCACAAAGTTCCATCTAAATAGGCCATTTATAACACATGTATCCACTTCTTTACTCCACTTCGTGGTGTCACATTCTGGGGAAATAACCGTTGGCAGGTTCGGTGAGGTCATGGGGGTTGACGGGACAATAGGAGAGGCGTGGCAGAGGGGGGGGGGGGGTGTTATTTGATCAACTTCCTTACTGGAAGGACTCTCTTATTGCATCACAGGAGCAGCCGCAACCAAATGAACGTTGCATCAGGTTGCGGGTTGAGCGCCGTTGGGTTGTCGGGCCGACGCCCTCTCGTGGTCCACCGCGGAGGGAGACGCGCGACTTAACCGCTGTCCTCTCTCCGCGTCCTCTCAGGTGCAACAACCCGTCCGTCATAGTCCATTCGGGCGCCCAGCATCCGCCCCCCGTCGAGTCCCCGGACACGCTGAAGAAGCGACGGATCCACCGCTGCGACTTCAACGGCTGCAACAAAGTGTACACCAAGAGCTCCCACCTCAAGGCGCACCGCAGGACGCACACCGGTGAGGGCCGCACGCACGCGCTTACGCGCTCGCTCGACTTTCCACATGTCGCCGTGACTCATTTCTCTCTCTCTCTCTCTCTCTCCCTCCACGCGCAGGCGAGAAGCCCTACAAGTGCATGTGGGAGGGTTGCACGTGGAAGTTCGCCCGTTCGGACGAGCTGACGAGACACTTCCGGAAGCACACGGGGGTCAAGCCGTTCCAGTGCCCCGACTGCGAGCGCAGCTTCTCCCGCTCCGACCACCTGGCGCTACACAAGAAGCGCCACCTTTTGGTGTGAACCAGAACCACCCCGGACTGTACCGCTTGACCCGAGGCCGTCGCGCGCAGTTCTGCGGATTTATCGTCCCCCCCCCTCCGACACTTTAACAGAGAAGAGAGGCCGCTGCACATCAGCCGGCCTGAGATGCAGCGCTCTCCTGTGGTCGGAGAACCTAACTGTCCGACGCCGTCTCTGCCTCACACGGCACGCTCACATCAGCTCCCATACACAGGTTGTTCGCTACCTAGGCCAATATAATGTGAAACTCCAGAATGTACCATAGCTCACCTACTGTGCATCGTGTCATGCACGCTTCAGCCTCACCTGTGGCATGGCGCCCAAGGCTGGCGCCTCCTCCTTCACGGACCACCACATCCAAACTGCACCCACCTGATCTGCCTCTGCAAAAACACACCTGTAAAAGGACTTGTAAAAACACACACCTGGGAAGGAAACAGGTCGCCAAATGTTTTAAACGAGGGAACACGTGCACTTAATAAAAGCAGCCTCGGTTCGCTGTGCTTTTTTCGGGAATTTGGGTTGAAAAAAAGAAACGTAGGACCTGGGTCTCGTTCAATGTCAGAGTGAAGTGTTTTTTTAATGTTTTTATTCAGAAATGTGAACGTTGCTGCACAGGGGCATTATTGTTAGCAAGGAAAAGACACCACTTGGTTGGTTTAAGGGTAGAAGCAATTATAGGTCTTATATCAAGTTTAATGATTTTTTTGTGGGAAATGCAAAGGGGAGACATTTTATCTTTGTCACATAATGTTTAAAGATGTATAACATTGATTTGAACAGTTTTCTTAAGAGGTGGGGTCATTAGATATATTCTGCTACACTGTCACCTTTTTAGAGCCCAACATTTACAGCACAAAAAGGAAATAGTTCTGCTCAATGCATCTTTGTACATTTCTCCAATGTGCACTTTATATATATATATATATATATGTGTGTATATATAAAGTATCAGACCCTATATACACATTACGAACATTCCCAAAGCGAAACATTTTCTAATCAAATATTCTATCCGCCTGCTGGTCAGTTTGATCGGAAATATTTAACTTAAGTCTTTCTGATCATGTAATACAGAAGATGTGATAATTTTTCTTCTACACGCATGTACGCTCATAAACACACATCGAATGTAGCGGCTATAGTGATTTGCATTTTGCCCCTTGATCTTCTTCGCGGTTTTTACTTTGTTTTTGTATTTCTGAAAATATAAGTTGTAATATATATATATTTTATAATTGATTATTAGACCGAAAGGGCAATTAAAGGTTTTTTATTAAGCATGATTTTGATACTCATAATAATGGATATACATTTCTATAATGTTCTGTCTATAATAAACCCAATAAACCTTTTAATCTAAGCGTTGGCAATTCAAAGGGAACATGTTAAACTGTGAACATATAACTGCACATGTTTATATGAAATTTTAGCATTTATTTTAAGAAAGAATATTCATACCACTTAATAAACGTATTGGTAATACCTGCAGAATGAAGGGCTGTGTCTTCAATTATTTATGGGTTATTAATCTCTGTGTGTGAACTTTATCCTTTGCAGCTGTAATCCTCTGAATTTACTAATAAAGGATTACTTATTTCTAAATTATGATTTGATTTGTTATTCAGAATTCGAAAAGCCTTGTTGCGTATCAAGCACGTCTCTTTAATCAGTACCTTGCTAAAAAGATTGTATTCATGTAAGATTCTAATCAAAATTAATTGTAATCGGCTTTAGTAATTTCTATAATGTGATATATGTTAAAAGCATGGGCTCGTCCGGGATTTGAACCCGGGACCTCTCGCACCCTAAGCGAGAATCATACCCCTAGACCAACGAGCCGGTGACTGCTCCTTTCTATATATAGGACTAATATTAACAATACGCCATTTTTTCTAGTTATTATTGTATGATAAAGCATAAAGCATCTATCTAACTATCAATGTGTATCAACAAAAAGAACATTTAACTTTTTTTTCTAATCAAATATAAGCGTCCATGAGAAGCGAGAGGAATCGCTTCCTTCCACTTCCGCATTTGTTGACAGCTTTAGCATGAGCAACACAGCAACAACACAACAGCAATAAGGATGAATTACCGTTGTCGGCGACTTTATCAGTACCCGACCCCAATGAATGCTTTGAACACTGTTGCATTGTGGGAATCCCAATTAATAACAAAGCTTACAATGTGGTTGTTCTGTAAAACATTGTCTTAAATCGGCACCGGCTTATAGTAGACTAAAGTCGTTTTGAGGCAGGGAACTATCTTGTCTGTTGGTAGTCCTCCGCGCGGTAGTCCGCCGGCCTGCCGACGTGGCGGGCGGAAGGAGAGCCGCTGGCTGGCACCGAACGGGTGAGCTGCACTGTCACTTTCACCGAAACACCACCACGTCTTTCAGCTTCATTACTTTCTTTACCCCGAAACAACCGACCAAAGGAGACAACGCGCCCTGAAGTTTTAAGGATTAGTTTCACTTTTGTAAACGTGTTTGTATGTGACTGTTACACGTCAAGGAGGCTCTAAATAATAGCCCGATTGTCATGTTCGCTTTCATACAGAACGGTGGTCTTTGTTCAGTGTCTTCTGTACGTTGTTCTGAATGTTGTCATTGTGTAACATTGTGTTCAAATGGTTTTAAGAGAAGCAGAAGATATATGATCTATTGATGACATCATGGGTGTTATTCATTTGACTGTAGTTACAATGTATCCCCATAGCATCTCTCGACAGTTTATGGATGTAATAGCATATTTAATTAGTGCAAAAAAACTATACATGGTTTTTTGACATGGATGTATTTGCCCCGCTAGTAACCTAACTTTAGCCTGTGTTTGCGGACGGGGCATGTGGGTGCACGTGATGCGCGTGGCCGCTGGGTGGAAGCCTCGAGCCACGTAGCGACCATCAATCATGCGCCACAGCGTTGCTTCTGTAATGTCCTTCATCAATGTCCAATTTTCTCCTCAAACATCTCACACGTAGCACGATTGTACATCATTTCTTTTTAAATACTGCTGCAAATTCTGCAGAAATAATGCAACACTTCATATTATGGGGTTTTCTGGAATTGATTGTGTCATATGCACATGTGATGAGGTTTTTGGCCCTTTGTATGTTATCAGGTTTTAGCATATTAACGTCAAATTGCTACAATTACTCAGTCGATCAATACACAAAAAGCAAAAAAGTCTATGTGCTCGCTCCTCCTCTAATGTCAGCTGTCAGTTTTCCCTGTTTTAAATCACTGTCAACTGAAATTCTTGTTTTTCTTCCGGCCGGGGGGGTGATAGTAGAACAAACAACACACCTGCAGGCATCTGAGGCTCCGGGCTTTTGTGACAGGTAACAAAGAAAATTGTACAGATTGATCCGTGGCGAATGTGACAATCAGTTGCAGCACCGATTTGCATTCTGTTGTATGGATACGATGTGTACACGTAGGCACTGTTTGGTTGCAGGTTACACATGAATAAAGAACTAAAATCAAGATGTCTTCTCTTCAAATCACCATGTTCCATGGCCGACGCAGAACCCCATCGTTGACTTCCCCCCTTACACTGAGCCTGACCCGGTCAGGATGTCCCAGAAGCTTTGCTCAGCTCTCTACATCCTCCTCTGGACCCCCCGCGGCTCAGCGCGGAGGAGACCGGGACAGAGCCCACCTCGGAGGGTCCGACGGGCCAATCGGAGCCTGCGGCCCAGGGTCGGGTGGTCGTATGTGACCAACCGGTGAGCCTGGAGCTGGAGCCCGAGCAGGCAGAGGAGGATGCGGAGGTCTGTCGCACGTGTTTCTGAAGTATCTCAGATAAATCTTTGGAACATCTTTGGATCTTTGCTGCTCTTCTTACCGATCGACAGTCATTGATACCGATTTATCCGTAATGTGATCTTATCGATCGGTACATCGGCCTTTAACGTCAATATGCCACTGAGCTGAGTTGGCTTCATTCGTTGACTTGACTTTGATTTAACTGAAAATATCTGACCATTCATTTGTCAATCGGAAGAGAATGAATCAGCAACTCTTTGGACGATTGTTTCAACAATTATTCAAGTAATCTGTGTTGATTTAAAATGTGCTCTCATGTTTTGGCTTCTCAGTTCATTGGTCTTATTTGATGATGGTAAGACTTGAATAGAATGCTGATTATGGAAATGAACAAGAAGCGCTGTGTCCCTATTTCCTGAATATTTTTGGACGCATTCTGAAAATGATAATTATACTTTTTCCAAGACGTATTGACTCCAACCTTTGAAGCTAATAAACACAAGTATTGACTTAACTCCCTTATCTCAGTTCTAAAGACCAATGTACTAACTAGCACTGCTGTGTGTGTGTATGTGTGTGTGTGTGTGTGTTTACAGAGGCCACCTCAGGAGAAAGAGAAAGGTTGGGGAGGTTGGAGTTCATGGGGAAAATCTCTCCTGAGCAGCGCCTCTTCCTCCGTGGGTACGTCTCCTTCGTTTAGTTCCTCAATCGTCGTTACGCTTCAGCCTCTCTGGCCCCCGAAGTCTTCACCCGCCTCTGTGTGCAGGTCAGAGCCTGACGTCGGTTAAGACCAAGGCGGGAGAAGCTCTGCGACTCCACAAGACCTCGGTGGGAGAGGAGGCGCAGGAACACGGGGAAGGAGAAGAAGAGGAGGAGGAGGAGGAGGGTGCCGAGGAAGAAAAGAAAGTGCGAGGAGGGGAAAGTGGAGCGGCCGAGGTGTCTGGTTCCGGGGAGACGAGCGTTAGTGCTGCAGCTTCGGGCAGGGGCGTCTTCTCGACCATCACACACGCCGTGCAGAACACAGTGAGCCAACGCACACGCGCACAGACCTCTAAAAACAACAAAAGAAACATAAGTGCATCTCCATTCTAATTTTCAGTTTATAAAAACGTTCCTGAGATCGGAGTGAGACAAGGAGACAACGGGATGTTGTGATGTTTGCAATAAAACATCTTCAATGTCACTTTACATTCCAGGTCATTTAGCTGCCGCTTTTGTCCAAAGCGACTTGCATCGCATTTTTGACCGGTGGCTTTCTACATTTTTGCCCAGGGAGCAATTAGGGGTTAGGGTGTCTTGCTCAGGGACACTTCTGGAGCAGCCGGGGCTCAAACCGCCAACCTTGCGGTTGCTGGCGGTTCGGGTTCGGCGCACCCTCTCCACTCCATGCACCACCGTCGAGCCCTGTCACGTGTCAAGTCCTAGCCAATCAATTCATTTCCCTCCAACTTTTCAAATTTGAAGTTATCGCCAATACTGCATTATTATTGTTATTGTTATTATTATCACCGTCTTAATCAGATCAGTTCAGACTTCTGGTCAGAACAATCAAAAGGCTGTAGTTCTTCTGTCGGTTTCTCCGCACGCAGCCTAATTTGTATGACAGATCAGTGGTCCCCCCCCCACCCTAAATTTATTCTAGCCCAAATTTAGACATGATATATTTTGCCTGGACCTTTTAGTATCGTCTTCCAATTCTTCCTCTGTGTCCCTCTCTCTGCGTCTTCAGGGTAGGTCGGTGATCAGCGGCGGTTTAGACGCCTTGGAGTTCATCGGAAAGAAGACCATGACTGTCCTCGCCGAGACCGACCCGGGTTTCAAAAAGACCAAGACCCTGATGCAGAAGACGGCATCGCTGAGTCAGGTGTGTGGTCTCGCCCCAGACGAACGGACACGTACAGCAGTCCGATAGATCCCGTGAGCGGCAGCGTTATGTGAAGGCCCCCCTGTGGTTCCTCAGATGTTGAAGGAAGCCAAAGAGAAAGAGCGGGCCCGTCTGGGCGACCAGCCAATCAGCGCCCCTGCAGCTCACTACGGCATCCTGTTCGACGACTACCAGGGCCTGCCGCACCTGGAGGCCCTGGAGATCCTGTCCAATGAGAGTGAAGCTAAGGTGAGCCGCGCCGAGTGTGAGGAATACGTTCAGAAACGGCCGTTTGAGAGTCTAATGCTCTTCGCCTGCTCCCAGGTCCAAGCCTTCCTCTCCTCCCTGGCGGAAGAGGAGCTGGAGGAGGTAAAGAAGGAGCTGATTTTCATCAAGGACATCTTCATGAAGCAAGAGGAAGAGGAGAAAGAAGAAGAAGAAGGAGGAGGAAGGGCGAAGGATAACGGTGATCTAAGTTCCCACTCTCACTGTTCTACCGCCCTGTGTGAGTGACCCCGACCAGCCGCCGGATCTGCTGGCGATCCCTGACACTGACCCCGGATCAGATGGTCTTATTCATACACACTGGCGCCTCTAACATTAGATCAGATGATCAGGAACAGAACTCCCCATTTAACAGAGCTAAAAATGCATTCACGTTTCTACCCAGTTTTTTTCCAAAGCGTGTAAATCTAGTCCGCATTGCACGACACATCAGACGGAATACTCATTTTAGTTTTACGCTCAAATCTTTTTCTAATCTCACAGCTGTGAGCAGAGAGCTTCTGGTGCACTCAGGAATCTGGTTTAGCCTTAAGAAACGTTTTGGGGGTTTAACAATAAACCGGTGTGCTTCTCCGGAGTGTCTCCCGGGATGGGAGGGCAACCCCCCACCCCCCCCCCCCAGCACCGTCGCCTCACAGCAAGAAGGTCCTGGGTTCCACTCCGCCCAGTGGCCTTTCTGTGTGGAGTCTGCATGTTCTCCCCCATGTCTGCGTGGGTTCTCTCCGGGTTCTCCGGCTTCCTCCCACAGTCCAAAGACTCTCTGCTCTGGGGATCAGGTTCATTGGGGACTTTTAAATTGCCCGTAGGTGTGTGAGTGTGAATGGTTGTATGTCTCTGTGTAGCCCTGTGATTGGCTGGCGACCAGTCCAGGATGAACCCCGTCTATCGCCGACCCCGCGTGCAGGATAAGCGGTTTGACGATGCATGGATGCATGGATGCATGGATGCATGGATGCATGGATGCATGGATGCATGGATGGATGGATGGATGCATGGATGCATGGATGGATGTTTTGCCACCATGTTTCTACAGAAGCCCAGGATGAACAGAAGTCGATATGTCCCCCGTAGTCCTCACACAGTTTGACCCATACTAAAGACTAGAAGTCTGTATAGTTTGCCATCTGTTGCTTTGTTTCTCTTTTGCTCATCTGTTGCTTCGTTTCTCTCTTTTCTAAATTCTCTTTAATTCTCTTTCACGGTGCTACAGTACTAAATTGCAAGACACACCGCTGTAATTCAGGACAATATTGTCTCACAAAGGCAGAAGACAAGATGCTGACCGGCAATCTATCAGGATGACGCAGCAACGAGACAACAGTTAATTGTGCTGTCAGCACATAAACAACTTATTATCGTCACCCAGAAATAAGGAAATCAAAACCAGGATGCAGAACCAAGACCCTGTCCTGCTCACCTCCACCTTCCACTTCTCAAACGTTTGCCTCGTGTCAGTTTCTCACAAAAAAAAACAATATTCAAAGGATATTATTTGATCCGATTTCTACTTTCTTTCCTAACATCGGCTGTCATCTCTCAGGCTGGAGCACGTGCTGCCGTGGACGTGACCCGTGTGTGTTTCTGTGTCTCTCTGCCAGCAGCAGCCGGCGGCGGCGGCGGCGAGGAGTTTGTGAACGTTCTCACCGAGCTGCTGTTTGAGCTTCACGTCGCCGCGACGCCGGACAAGCTCAACAAGGTGAGTCGCACAGAGGTAGAGAGAAGGCCGTCCTAAACACACGAGCGCACACAGCAGCACCACTGGGGGGCTCTTCACCAGCAGACGGGTGTGAAAAGCGTTGCTTCAGGGGCTTTGAGTGCGTCTCTCATGAGCACATCTCGAGTTTGCATGAAACTGCGTGCATTTTTGTCCTCAGAAATCTTGCTTCATTGTCCGATTTTAAGAAAACCATTAAAAATTGTTTACCCTCCCGGTTTACAAAAATAGAACAAAATCAAAAACCTCATTGTGTTGATATTTTGTTTGTCTACTTGTGTTACATAAAGCATGAATGTACATCTTCATTGGTCTCTCTCCTCAACCAAAGGGAATAATGCTGCAGTCAGCTCTGGCATTATTCTCCTTGGTTCATTTCTAACATCCTCTCTCTCATGCCGCAGTCTTAGATGTACCGTAAACGTTCTCACCTTTCCTTCTGAGTCCTTCTGCATATTCAGATTCCCACGCATGGGTCATTAGCATGTAACCGTGGTTACGCATCCGATGAGCTCGCCTCAGGATGGCGACCCCTCACCAGGCCGAGCTGATGTTGGGTAACTATGCACCTCCAGGCGCGCGTGAGGGCCCATGATTGGGTGAGCGAGGTGGAGCGGCCCGTCGCTGCGGAGACGGCTGACGGGGCAACGCGGGACCAGCCGGCCGGAGAGGCCTCACCTGGAGGGAAGGAGGAGGAAGAGGAGGAGATGAGGATGGAGGATGGGGAGGCTCGGCAGGGGGAGGAGCAGCAGAAAGAGGAGGAAAAGAAAAATGAGGCAGGGAGCGACCCCAGATCTGTAGAGGTGAGGTCGACTCGGCGGTTTGTCAAATCAGCACCTTTTCAAATAGTTTTGATCCTTTTATGCTGCTGTCCCGGGTTGATACAAAGGTTGTGTGTGTGTGCGTGTGTGTGTGTGCGTTTGTGTGTTCTAGGCCGTCTACCTCTCATCAGTCAGCAGCCTGGCAGAAGTGACGGCTCGCAGCATTGAGCAGCTCCACAAGGTGGCAGAGCTCATCCTCCACGGGCAGGACATGGAGAAACCAGCCAGAGACCAGGCTCACGTCCTCACCAGGTGCGTGTGTGACAGACAAGACAGACAGACGGACGGACGGACGGACATGCACACACACACAGACAAGACGGGCTGACTTGTTAAAACCTTTATTCCAGGTTGACGTGTGCCATGTGTAAGGAGGTGGAGTCTTTGGCCAAGAAGTTCTCAGACACGCTGCTTCTTGTTGGGGTAAGTGAGAAGGACTGTGTGCCTTCATGGCATGGAAGTACACTCCATTTATGCGCCTCATTTTAGCCAAATATGAATACACATTGAATGTATTTTGTGTTTTTGGGATGTAAACATAAACCTCTTATACATATGTTTATATACTCTACGTATGTATGCTGTATATTTAAATGTGCATTTGAATCCAGCGTCATACTTCATATAAGCTGGGTTTTACTCTACTGGCGAAGTGGCGTCAGCATACTCCGAAGTAGTTAGTCAACCGGTGTGGCACCTTTATGTCTTTTGTTTCCTAGAATGTGTTGCCGCAAAGAGAAATCTGGATGAGTGGTTTATGTAAGAGCGAATGTGCTCTGCAGGATGCTTGTAGTGTGGCTCACTGCGCTCTCTCTCTCTCTCTCGCTCAGGGCCGGAGGAAAGCAGAGGAGCTGAAGCCGCTGGTCGACGGCGTGCTGTTAGAGGTGAGTCACACTCACTCGTCCTCAGGCCATCTTCGTTTTAATCAAGCGGCGATGAGCGAAAGTAATATCGTGGCATCAATGCGTGATGGAAGACGGTGTTGATCGTAACGCTTCAGGAGTTTCAGCTGTAAGTCAGTGAACACATGGTCCGAATCTACAGTGCTGAAGTTACATATTGACACTAAGCCTTTATAAGTGTGAATCAACATTTGATTTGACTCTAAATTACTCTTCATGATTGTTACTTGACACTCATGATTTAAGAAATTACTCCATAAACGGTGTTCAAAAATATTTACTATACTGTATTTACTCAATTAGAGTCGTTCTTAGGGTTACTTTTAAAGGATTCGCATTTTACTACTTCTACTGGTAAAGTTAAAACAATCAAACTACACATGTTTGCAGGGGTAAAAAATATATAACGCTAGAACATTATATACGTTACAATTAGGGTTTTTTGCATTCAAGTTTTTATTGCGTAAATAATTGTTTATATAATTAAATTCATTAGCTTGAAAGTTAATCCTAGAAGTGTCCATGCAGGGAAGGCATAATGTTAATTAACTAACTCAAGCGCTTGCATGCACATGCAGTCTGGGTCTACGTACATTTACATAATCAAACACATCGTTCCTGCACATCGACCTTCATGCCCACTGAGTTTAACGTTATTCTAAACCACTGCTTTGGCTGAAATTTAAAAATTTAGTAAAATAGGGAATTTTTTTAGGGTTCTAAAACCTCAGATGAATATCCTGCACCACAAACAACTAAAGCATACCTCAATATCTTACTGTATATTTAAAATATTCCCTACACCTGTTCTTGAAAGTAAAGTAGAAGCAAATCAGAAAGCCAGACAGTGAGGCCCAACTGGAGAAATAACATTTTAACACAGATGAAACACAATAGCTTAGAAATCAATACAAAAAAAAGAAGATAAAAAGATCCCAGTAGAGACATCAAAAAGAATAAAAGCAAGAAAACGATGATGATGATGATGATGATGAGACTATTGTCTGCAGGGCTCAAACAGTACCAACTACATCGAGAACGCGCTGCAGCTGCTGCTGCCCGTCCTGCAGATCTCCCACATCCAGAGGCAGCACTGTCGCCCCACCACAGAGCCAGTGGAACACACGCAGCACTAACACACACACACACACGCACACACTCACACACACACACTTTCTGCTCACCCGCTTGTCTTGATGTATCTATTGTTGTACAGAAAACTATGGAGAATAGATTATTCCAGATGAGGAGCTGAATTGACATTCTTTGCCATAGAAATAGGCAGATGATAGACACGTAATATAATCTCTTAAGAGTTAACAACTACACGCGTGTAGAAATGACTGCTGTGTGTGACTCCTCCCCGTTGTATCTGTGTGGATATTTCGCTTTGTGACTCATTCTGTTGTGACTAAACAAAGATGTGCGTCGTGTCTAAAAGCCGAACCAAAAGGAGCAGTGCGTTGAAGGCGCTCTACATTCACGTAAACTAAGCTCTCTTTGCACTTCTTTCTTCAACAATAGGGAAATGTATTTTTGGCTGAAGAGCTTCAATGTGGTTTCAGACTAAATACCAGCATTGATGATTATACACTACAAATTTTGCTTCTCATGTTGAACTATGTAAAGACACAATTTACTCAATTTAATTTTTGGTCATTGCGCAATATTAAGTTCTCCTTTTCCCTTGATTTATTGTTTACAATGGAAATGTATTATTTGTTCATTCATCGTTATGTGTTTTGTGCTGCTACACTTAACTAGCATAGTTCAGAATTGTAGGGAAACATGTTGTTTGCTTTTCTTGCTGAGAGTTATATAACAAGACTGAACTCTGTGCAGGGAGGACGATGTATTTCTCACTATGTCAAACAATGTCTTTAATATCAAAATGGCATGTCCTGCATGTTGGGTCCTAACACTTTGAAGAAGGCATGAGCCAGAACATTTATTTTCTTGTCCTCCTGAATAAAGACTTTAAGTACTGTTTTTGGTTCACCCCCTTCTTGCTCCCCAGCGGTACGTTATCTCATTTATTTTCCAAATGACTGTTTCCTCCCTTTGCTCGGATCACATGTTGAGTCCCAGCTGCAACCCCAAGGTGCTCACAGTGCATCTGGGTTTTCACGTTCGGTGTTGAATTGGCTCTTAGCTTCCAGCCAGCTGATCTCTTTAGGAGACGGAGTATTCTCCTACTTCCTCTTTCTCCTTTCCTTTCGGAAATATACTGATGCGGAGAGAGAAATATATTAAGCAAAGAAAAATACAGTCGTTGGGTTTTGGCTTCTTGCAGCTAAATCCAGACGGCCATTTATCAGCCGAGCCTTCCTTCAAACACAAAAACGTTTCCAACGAGAAATGTTTGGGACGAAAGTTGTTTATTTAGGTTCAGACAGTTAAATAAGCAGAAAACCTTCTGAGGTTCAGAAGTTTTAACTGATGCAGGAGTTTTTTCTTTCCATCCGGGGCACTTTCAGGTCCATTTGTGTGCCCCTCTGTCAGCAGGTCTGCTCCTCCATGGGGGAGGCGAAGGGATGCGCGCGATGATGCAGATTTGCTAAAGGTGGAGGATATAGAAACAGGAGGCGAGGTAATGTTAACCGTGTGCGTGAGGCTCATTCTCTCACACACACACTCTGCTTTCTCCCGCCTGACTGACTGCAGCCAGCGGCGGCCTCCTTTCCGGGGTCAACTTTGTTTACTTCTGGCACAATTATATATTATATATGTTCAATATTTTATCGTATTCATTGCGGCCACATTAATCGCATAGATCAACACGCTAATGTTGACAGCCCTAATATACATACATATGTACATAGATATTTAAACATTTTATGCCATGTTTACTCAACTGACATACTTTTTTCTCTTTTTCTAAGTGCAATTGTAGTACTGATGCAGTTTTACCTGTATAGCAGTGGTCATCATTTCCATCGAGTAGAGTTTCTATGTCATCTGAAAAGGGCATTTGAGGATTATTAACACACAAATCCATTGATTGCTCGGAACTTGTTTAAGAGTGTAAGCAAATTCCTACCTTGAGAGGCAACTTCTTCAATCGGGGAAAGTCCTGTCCGTTAAAACAAAAGGGCTGAAACAACGGCTCAAATGATCAACGCGTGTATGACGTTAAGAACTGACCTGCTCGAGGTCGGGATCCGTAAGAGTGAAAGATCATCCCTGCAGGTCAACAGCTGGTTGTTAGTATCTACATTTGTTTAATCTGAAATGGAGCCAAATAAAAAGATTTGGAGCATCGCTGTGTATTTCACTTTAATCTTTTACCTTTGGGAGCGATGATCTCCATGTGCCTCCCAGCATCTGGGTGATAAACCATTACAACATTTCAGTATATCAGACATATTTATTATTACTCATTTCATAAAGAGGAATACTGACTGGTTGGCAGAAATAATATTAAGAGTTGAATTGATGAGGTAGTGCAAAAATGTTAACCGTATTATGGTGTTTCATTCAGACAGACCGCACCATATTAAGGCAGAAATAATTATTATTTAGAAGTATTTTTAATTTAATTCAAAAATATTCCAATTTACCGTTCACCTGCCGGCCATTGACAGCGTAAGCAAGAGGGCTCAAGTCGCCGGGTGCGTGCCCTTCTGACAGAAATATACAAGAAATAAAATTATTTTCAGATCAACTTCAAAAAGTCAACCTAGCCCAGTGCGTGTGTGCGTGTGCGTGTGTGTGTCTTTATGACTTACTGCAGGAGCGCCTCCTCCAGTAGATTTGTCCGAGCACGATTGTGACGATCGTCAGAATGACCACGCACAGCAGAGCCAGCCAGAACACCCAGCTCCACTCACCTGGAGGACACAGAGTTACACAGACATATATAGACATATAGATATGAGTGGTCGGACAACTAAAACACCAGCCAAGTCCATTAACTTCTATCGCTTCCCCTTATTTGTGGAAACCATACAATAACCAGCAGAGATGTTCAGTGTCATTCACCGTGGAACAAACCAAGCAGCTTCTTAAAACTCAATTATTATCAACCATCTCACAGAGATGCTCCAGCCTGGGAGGTCGCCGCTGATCCTCACGAGTTTTTGTTTCTGTGAATATAGAAGCCTTTTCCATCATCACATGCACGCAAGCTTGCCACCACCTGAACCCGAACCCTCGACCTTTAAATCTCTGTGTGGCTGTGAGCTCACGTTCCTTCATTTTATCAGTAAGTCTGGATTATGGTGCTTTGCTTTGTTACTACAGACACGTGTAATTAGTTAGCAAAAAACAGGAGAAAATATCCATAAATAAGACAAAAACTAAGGAATAATTGCAGAAGATACAGCGATGAATGGGAGCAGAACGGAAAGGGACAGGATGGAAAGAGTTGTGTAGTGGAAAAGTTTAAACGAGATGGGTTCCAGCTTTTAACACACACACACACACACATAGACAGGAAAATATGCGTTAGTCATAGCTTGGGGCGGTGTTGGAGACCCCAAAAGAGAACAAGCCAGAATCAATACAACCATGTCGATGCAGATTAAGACGTACTGTTACTCTGGGATCATGTGGAAACAAAGGCACAGACCTCCGGTTGCAGTCAAGAGAAGAAGAGCTGAGGGAAACGAAATGAATCCGCTGTGGACTAAGAGAGAAGACGGGTTCGAATGAGATTCGACCCCAAACGAAAACAGGCAGGTTTCCTCCCTCGCTGACCGCCCGGGGAACAACCAGCCCTCTCTCATCCTGACACCGACCTCTCTGTGTGACCTTCCACGCCGGCTTCTCCTGCACTGTTGCCGTCGCAGCCGTTCTGTTGGCGAGCCGAAGGAGACAGCGTCTCGGATTGGCCGACTCGGCGGCGGCGGGCGGGAGCGGGAGGCAACAGTAAAACGCCGTCCACGGCCCTCGCTCGTCCCTCCCCTCCTCTTCCTCCTCCTCTTCCTCCTCCCCGGGTGGGTGGAGGTGTAGGGAGCCGCGATCGGTGCCTTCGTAGAAGGTTAGATTGAGGGTCTCTGCGGCTCTGAGGCGAAGCTCCACCGACACCTCGGCGTACGTCTCCACAGCTGCGAATGCACATGTGGATAGATGAATGGCAATCGTGCTAACGGCTAAATGCTAACACTCGCATGCTAACAAGTTCACGGTGTCAAGCGATATCGTTAGCGGGTACGGTATTTACCTGGTTTGCCAGGTAACACAAGCTCATTTACTAGTCCAAGAAGTTGATATTTTGAGGTCAAAGGTCAAGGTTGCTTTGACTTTTCTGTACCGTTCTAATTGTGACTGAAAGTATCTCAAAGTTTTCAGTACGTTATGAAATAGTAGAAACATGCTCATGTGAACCCAAACTTAACGCAGAGAGAGCTAAATATATTTCACTTGACGACAGAAATATCGGCCTCGTTGTGGGGGCTGAGAATGAGCCCCCCAAAAGTCAGCAGGATCCATCCTCTGGGGGGCATGAATGTCTGCTTCAGATTCCTTTGCAATCCGTCCAATAGTTGTGGAGAAAATCGTATTCTGGACTAAAACGTTCTCCCTGTAGCCGCGCAGCTGCAATGTCGTCCGTGTGACTCTGTAATACCTGAAGGTGACGTGTTTCTGCGCAATTCTGCCATGTCCGTATCCGCTTTGCACAGGAACCAGTTCCTCTCCGGGTCTTCGCCGCCCCTCCCGGGGTCCGGCTCAGGATCCTCCTGTGTGCAGTCCCGCTCCCACGTGTTACTCGACGCAGGCTCACAGTCCTTCCTCCGGACTTCAGCGTCGCCACTTTTCCATTTTGCCCCGTTCTCCAGCCGCCGAGCCCCTCGTTCACAGGGCCGGTAGGGCACGCAGAGGAAGTTCACCTTTGGCACTGAGAGGAGAAAGTTAACCGACAGACGATTGGGGAAAAGAAATGCAGTGCTCAGAAGTCGAGAATCGAAGCCGTCGCCTCCACTTTATGTCTGACACGCGGCCAAACCCATTGGAGGCAAAGACAAGCGCCGACGCCTGAAGCCAACTACTCTGCAATAAAGAGATCAAGCTCTTCAAGGCAACATCAAACGGAAGCCCTCACAAAGCAGCTGCCAGTCACAACTGTGTGTGAGGGGGGTTTGTTTCGTGCTGGCGACAGCGTTCGGGGGCCGTTATAATTTTGGGAGGTCCGTCCGCTTTCCAGCTGTCAACATCTAATTTGACGCAAACGTTACACCAGGAGGAATTTAGAGGTCAATGGTCATTGTTATTGTGACCTCACTTCCAAGCAGTTCATGTGACGTGTTTTTTTTTTACATCCAGCTAAATTCCGTCGAATTTGGCACAACCGAGCGCCTCCACTCAAGTGGCCATTTTTGGCCATAACCTAAGAATTCATTTGACAATTATAACGATTTTTTTTACCCAAACGTGTAACCGGATAAGAAGAAGAACTGTTAACATTTAGCAGCAACGTGACAACACAAGGAGGAGTTCTCGTTTTGCTCGGGGAGAAAGAAAGAACAGGAAGGAACCGAACAAAGTGATTCAACGAAAGTTTCAGATTGAGAAAGTTAAACAGAGTTTGCTCAATGCATCCAAAACACGTGTGCTTGCGCCCTTTTTAACACCTCTTGAGGCTGTGGCATATTGGTGAAGACAATACTTTTACTGCCACACACACACACACACACACACACACTCACCTCCATCTCAAGTGGCTTTGGACGACCTACCTCTGTCCAGTGTGAAGAATTCTGGCAGGCAGATGATGACGGCGAGGATCACGAGGATGAGGAGTTTAGTCAGAGTTGCTCTTATCATGGTGGAACCATAAGGTCACACGGCACCCTTCTCCTTAGGACGACGTGCGTCTCGAGGTCTAAACAAACTCGATCCCGGACACCTTGCATTCGAGAAGCCTCGCTGTAGAGTCTGAGACCCCCAATAAGGTATTTCTCACCCTTCTTGCAGAGGCGGGTGACAACGCAAGGAGACACATGTACAAAAAAAAAAAAAACCCACTTCCTCTCACTCTTCCTGTCACTTACTCAGAATGAGTGAAAAATGAAGAGCGGCAGATGCAACACGTTTCGAACAGCAGAATGTGAGTAGAAACGATGTGGACAGTCGATGGGAGATCGATGTCGCGTTTTGTGTGCGTGTAAGGGAGGTCAGCCTATTGAAACAGAGAAAGACAGAAAATGTGTTTCTATATAAGCTCCAAAAAACGAGAGAATCCTCTGTAAACTGTAAACAAGGTGTCGGTTGCCGGGCAGGAAGCTCCCCTCTCTGAAACATTCCTCATGTGGTTTTCAGGGACCTTTTTGCGTATCTGAAAGTATCTCACAGTTTTGACTTTGTATTTGTATCTCCTATTCATGACACATTTGCTCCCTCTTTATCGCAATTGTGAGTTTTCTGCTATTTATGAGAAAGGTTTGCTTTGTAGTTCCATGCTACTTTGTCTCTCACATTAATGATAAACCATCTTATGATTGATCCTAGTTATCACAATATGTATCAATAATGAGATAAGAGTCTACTTATTATTATTAGAGCATTTCACATATTTTCCCCATTAATTAGAATGCATCATCTAGTGTTTCTGTTGCTGCTGAGGAGGAAATTACCTTTCTGTTTATTTGTATTTATTTATTTTTTCAGCCCCTCCCAAAAGAAGAGAGTATAATTTGATTTCATACCCGCTTGGCTTGATCTCCGCCGGGTGTTGAGTGAGAGCCTCTCATCTGGGCCGACCTGGGTTGGCGCCCATAGTGTCTCAGACGACACACAGGCGGTGAGAGGATGGCTGGTAGGTAGAGCCTTATCTCCGCTCCGCAGCGCCGCTCGCAGCCAAAAAATACTAAAATCCCCTCATGTTCAGTCAAAGCTGCTTGACATTTCCAAGTAGTTTGGAGTGTATGGCTGAAATGCATTTAGCACAGTATTACCTGTGATTGTTGACAGTGTTGCGGCATAAACAACACGCTACATGCCTCCTAATGAAGCTCAGTGTGTGTTCTGGTCTTTCATTTCCCCCCCAAATCCATTCTGGTAGAAAGTTGTGATCTGGGGTTACTACAAGGTTTGGTTGTCACATTTATTATACCGTGCCACAAAAAGATGTTGCTTCCCAAATTTTGGTGTGGTGATGTCCAGAATCAGGATGCACTCAAAATGATTCAATCCCCGTTACAAATTGGGGTTTATTGGCGACAGTTGGTGTGGTTTCTCCAAAATTCACAAAATGCCAAACGACTACTGGAGTCTCAAAGGAAGCATCTCTAGTACTTTATAGCCTCCTTTTGCCGTTGTGACCCTGATGAAAACGAGACGATCCGGATGACGAGGTTCAATCCGTCGTGCCCTCCGCACGCTGCCGGTTCCCAGCGCCAGAGGCAGCCAAGCAGCCCCAGAGCATCACTGAGGCGCCGCCAAGCCTCACTGTAGGCACCGTGTTCCGCTCAGCGTGTGCTCCGTTCTTTCTCCTCCAAACACGCCGCTGATCCATAGACCAGAAAAGTGCAGTTTTGGTTCATCGCTCCACAGAATCTCCCTCTCAGAGCTTCTATGTTATCTCGTGGTCCCACATTGATGGATGCTGGCAGTCATCAGGGCCCCTGATTCACACAGCTTTTATTGGCTGTAGTGATGGAGTGAAACGTGTTTTACACTTTCTCAGGGGACCAGCTGGAAACACCTCCAGGAGCCCTTGAGCCTCCTTGAACCACAGTTAGAAAACCACATGTGTGGAATCTCTCTTCTTGTGAATAATAAGCTGCTGTGTTGTCTGACTAACCAGCGTAAACCGCAAATAAAACCTCCTTTTAGTCACGCAGGGGCTCGACGTTCAGGGGGACAGTGTGCCAGAGATCTGAATAATCAGGTGTATTGGGTGAAAGCTCCTGCAGATGGACTTGGAAGATGTATATTAAAGATTCCCAGAGAGAGTTAAGCCTTAAGAGGAAAGACAGTTCTGATTTCAGGATGTTATCTCACTCCATTTAGCGCTTTTAGTGTGGGATGTCAGCAGGCTTGGAGGTCCATTCAGCGGTATCATCTTGTTGGCACGAGCCATCCCTTTAAATTGTCTGTATGTATGTATGAGCCCCTGCTAAAGAATCTTAATGTTTCCTGAATCAAGGCTGTTCTTATAGAGCGTTCAAAGCTGTAAATGTTACATTTAAAGATTTAATTTAATGCAGAAAATCAGGAATCAGGAAAAAAAAAGTCTTTCAGCGTGCAGATGGCTGTATCATTAAAGAGACCACGTTGATTTATTTGTAATGGAACTTGAGTGCAGTGACTTCTGTAGTTATTTAAACCATAATCACAATCTGTTCCTAGACCTAACTATGTGTTTTTAAGCAGCCGATCCTTTAAAAATCCACTTTGGAGCGTTCCTAGCATACCTTCAGACCATCTGACTCAATCAAACCACAGACTGTACATAAGGAGTGGACGCAGTCATCGGGACATCTCGCATCTCTGTTAGAGTGTTTTAAGACACTTACGCGTTCACTCCTCAGAAGCGGAGGTTGTCACCTGAATCAAACGCGTTATTTGTTCAGTAGTGAGCAGATATTCATCACTTTTAATGCTGCCGTCAGACGCCCTGACGATGAACAGAACATTGCTGACTGGGGGAGAAGTGTGAGACGGACGTCCTCCTCAGCACTTCTCTTCAGGACCCAGTCGTCTGCTGAAAGGGAACATTAACCATGAGTCCTATCAAGTCACCTTCCACTAAAATCCCCCGAGAAATACCGTGAGTGGACTATTTTTGGAGCTCTGCATTATATCACTGCTGAATTTGATGCAGAGATTTGAGAGATCGAATGTACCGGCACGGTGAGGTTGGGGATTCGGGTACATGAGGGGATACTTAACGGGCTCTGCTCAGCGCACGTTGTGGTTGCACCTCTGATCCTCATCATTGTGCTCTGAATCCCGAGTATCATCCCTGGATCTGCTTTAAATGGACCCGACAGTGTTCTCAGACAGGTTGAGAACATCAATAGTTTCATTTGAAATTCTTTTTGATCCTGAACATCGTTTTTGGTTTTTGTCTGTGTACATTTAACCACAGCTCTGGATGTGAATGAGGCGAGATACTTATCGTAGATTTCTGTTTTTTGTGACTGGGTTTCACATTTTTGGCCCACACTCATTTCTGGTCCAACTTTTTCCTCACTGTGATCCGTCGTGGTGGTAAATGCAAAGGTTTGTTGCCAAAACCTACATACTACATCTTCCACGGTGGCGGGACGTAAGTTGACCAAAGACAAAAGCACCACAGGCCGACAGCCATTTCCATTAATATCTATGGTCAATATTTCCAGAACTACTCACACCCAAATGCAGACGTGTATTTTAGATTTTAGGGTGAACTGTACCTTTATTACAACCAAACTAATAAAACAGGAAATGCTTAAAAAGGCTAAATCAAATAGACCAGTTAGCAGCCTAAGAGACAGATGTTTTGCTCACTGGTAGAGACCAAAAACAGAGCTAAAAGAAAGGGAATATTGAGCCGACATTCACCAGCTGACCAGAAACTCCAAATTAACATTAATGTTGCTCCCTAACTTATTTGTTTATACTAGTATATTCATGATATCAAGCTAATCAGTAATTGCAAGTTACATGTTCTACTTTCTGAGCGTTTGGTATGTAAAATGATGAATGATAGTGTCAAATGATCAACGGGTTAAAGGAGAGACTGATGGGGAAGTAATGAAAATGGGGAATAAGAGGCAGGGGTGTGGCATGTATTTCCATTCATCACGAGGCGGAGGAGGAGGAGGAGAAGGAGGAGGAGGAGGAGGTGGTAGAGGAAGGGGAGGGAGAACATGGTGATTTAGCGCCGTGTCAGCAGTTGAGGCGTCATCCGGCTCTCATGAGACAAAGCCACCGTGAAACTTTATGACTCTTTATGGACAGATAATGAGGTTTCACAAAGAGATTATCGTTAAGAGCAAACCTTTACATTTGACAAAAGCTTTCCACGCTCGTCCTTCTCTCGGCTCTGATGCAGTTTCTCTGTCTGAATCACTGCTTTACTGTGCCAGTCGTATGTGCTCTGAATACAGCATTTGTCTCTTTGTCTTTCACCCCGTTTTGTCCCCTGAAAGAAACACGGAGGGGCCTCTCTGTTAGAGTGTCAAGGTTTTAGGAGTCTCCCGCATCTTTTCGATTCTGTGTGTGTGTGTCTGTGCGTTGTGAGAAGCAGCACTTCAAGGTGAGCCAAAGTGGGGTTGAATTTACGGGAAATGCACAGTTGTGATAGCGCTGCATCCCCTTTATGTTTCACCTTCTCCCTCCTTCTCCTCTCTCCTCCGCTGTAACCTTCTCAGGTGAGGAAATGCCACGTCAATAAAAGCTTTTTAACGTGAAGAAAAATCAATGTGCTCCGATTGCACCTTTTTTCGAGTCTGCCAACCGAACAAATGGGAGGCTCTGAATCTGCTGGTTTGCTGCGAAATAACGTAGAACTTCAGCAGTGTTACGTGCTTCACGTCAGTGCACCCTGTTAGTGTTCCTCTAAGATCCTGTTAGCGCCCGTATGACCAAACATCAACACCTTCGACTTTGAAATGCGTTACGCCTCACGCCATCAACTTTTATTATCCTGAAAGGGAAAGCCGGCTTGGGGCTAGTGTTTCAATAAAAATGCCTCATAAAACACAGTAAAGACACACAACTAGAAGCTCAATAAAATACATGATATACCCACATCTCGGTAAGATCACACAATGAATCTTTTATTGAAACAATCAATCCAAGTCCTTCGGAGTGATTGCTCAGGAGTAATATTGAGAAAGAAACGTAGCCCATTCATTGTAAACGCAGAAAAGTCACTCAGTGCTCAATGTGTTGCTTTTGTGTTTGTTCTGCACCAACCGAACCCCAAAGAGCAGACAAAGATTTTGTAGTGTGCAAGCAGGCCTGCTTTTCTGGCTATTCTGCACTCTGCTGCATTAACCCCCTCCTCGCCGCTTCCTGACCTTTTGTGCCGACATGCTCA